TGTTTTTGGGTTTTTAATTTGTAAAAAAAAAAGTTTTTTTTTTTCCCCCCCCCCCCCCCTTTTTGTTGATTTCGTGAACTTAAAACTTATTAGTTGTTTAAAAAGACCGAAAAAATTAACAAATAATTGTTTTGATTAAAATTTTATTATAATAATTATCTTTAAATTCGAAAATAGTTTCCTAAAGTGGAATTAAACTCTCGTTTTCCCCTTGAAATTAAAAAAGTAGTAAAGAATCGTTCAACGGCCCACCATCAAAATTCTCAAGTAGATGGAATTTTCTTCTTAAGATTTTCCTAATAAAATTAAGGCATAATGGCTATTATATGTTGAAGAAAATATATAAAACTAAGTGTTTGTTTGGGATAATTAAGAAAGTAGCTAAAATATTAATATCAAGGTCAACAATTAATTTTAATTTGTTATTTTACAGGATCTGTAATTTTTATCATCTTTTCAACTACATTTTTTATCAACTTATATCAAAATTTGCTAAATTTTTGGGGAAGTGCTACATGTACATAATTGTCTACATAATGATGTCCATAATTACATGTGACACTGGATTCAACTTTTAATTCAAATATCACACTTGTACATCAACAATCGGATGATTGTCACATCATATTATGGACACCATTATGTACAAATAGAATTTTTCAATTTTTTTAATCAAAACTTTGTTTAAATAATTTTTTTCATGAAATAAAATTATTTCACCTTCATATATCCCAATTGTTTTATGATTTGTTTGGTGCAATACAAGATAACGATTCATATTAGTACTTTATATTATAATATCGTAATTAAAAAATTGTGCTTATCAATATTTTCATCATTTAAGACATTTGTTTTTCTTGCTAAATTTTTTGGATTATACAATTCAAACGTATAAATCATAAAATACAATCCCCTCGAATATAATAAATAAATATGCAATATTTATATTTTTCCTTTCAACAGAATAAAACTCGAATTTCTAATTTCTCAAAGACAACAAGAATTTGATTTTAAATTCAAATTCAAAAATTAATTTTGCCCCGTTTGGTGATGACTAAAATTAGACTTTCAGTAAATTTTGATACAAAAAAATGATAACACATATGATTGAAAAATTGAGAATTCCATAAAATATGTAATAAAATTAATTGTTAACTTTGATTTGTATTAAAATCTGAATTTTAGTTCCTAGCAAATAGGGGTTTAAGTTAACAAAGAATACAACTATTTATTATATATTCGAATTAGGCGAGAAGGGAAAATCTAGTGGCCGGTGCCTGATAGGTGGAAGCACTTAGCCGGGAATCATTTTCTATGGCAATTTTTTCAATAGTAAAAGAAGTCGTAAAGAAGGAAAGTTAGCACGGTTTTGAATTGAGAGTGATATAACTCCTATTTTGTAGATAATGGATATCAAATTAATTTGTTAAATTCCACATTCTTTCATTTCACATTAATTATGAAAAATTACAAACTTTTTTCTTTCAATTTTTTATTTGTTAAATAACCCCTTTGAGGTTTCACATGTTCAGTTATGGCTGCTAATTACAACTGATAGCTTTTCTTCATGATGAAACTTGATTTGCTTAGCAATAAAATCCTCAATAGCTCTCTGAAACTCCTCATTATTCATTTCATCAACCATGTACACAGTCTCCGCCAGAGTCTCGTCAGAATTTATAACTTTCCAGCACTTCTCAGTCTCCAATCGCCGGAGCTGCTTCTTGCAATTATCTACCCCCAAAGTCTTCCCTTCTATCGTACTCTCCGACTGACTCCTCCGGTGAACTTTCAGACCCTCCAGGGCCTCCACGAATTTCATGTTTTCGCCATATTTTTTCTCTTCAAGAATGGTTTGTTTATCTAGGTACACAATATTCTCGTCTGGTTCTTGAACCGGAAAAGGAGTTTCATATGTAAAGTTCATGTAGTAATCATTGTTTAAGATAAATTCTTCATATAAATATATGTCTATTTCATTTTGTTCTTGATAATATCGAGGAAAAAAGCAGCTGGATTGGAAGAGAAGAGTGACGACGATGATATTGCTCAGAATGAAAATGAAGAGGGGGCTGAAGACTATGGTCATGAGTTGCCGGGCGTACTCGGCAGAGATTTTGACGAAGAACGGAACATGCGCTGAAACCCATGTGAGAAAAATGAGAAGAAAACGGAATTCAATTATCCGAAAAAGCTTCGTGACGTTTTTGAGGTGAACAAATCGTGACATTACGTTCGACTTCTCGACCTTCCCATTATCAATATTCAAAGCATCCATTTTCAGTAAAAGTCTAATAAGTCTGTATAGTTTGATATCGACAAATGATGTTCGCCAATGATTTCTCGTCGCTAAAGTTGGGTATTTTAGCAGCTAGTAATACGAGCCAAGAAAGATGAATTTCGAGAGTGAGACGTGGAGGAGATTAAAAGGGGATGCACTCGAGCATGCGAAGAAAGCTCTTCAAACTTCTCTTATATTATATTATAGAAAGGTTAGTAGAAAATGGCTTCTTTTCTTTAAGTTCTATGCTCTGGAGGCTTCGATTTGGAAGGCATGAATTGTTTCAGGGCGAAACCCCTCAGCCTTTTATAGAGTTTTTAAGAGTAATTTCATCTCAATAAATGACTAATAATTATGCTTTGGAGTGCTAAATCATATTTTAATAGTCTTTAACTATTAGTAAGAATAATGTTATTTACAGTGAAAACTATCAGCAGTCGCCTTATATGACGTACACTTGGCAGTTTTTCATTTGAAGTATAATTCAAAAAATAACTACCTTATCTATATATCAAATGCCAAATTGCTAAGCGTATGTTACATAGGACGACTATTGACAGTTTTCACTACGAATAGCATTACTATTGAGTAATGTAATTCATCATTACTAGCATTAAATATCAAAATAGGTGGCAATATTAATTATATTGTATTAAATGATAATTTCATTTAAATGTAAAGTTACACGACTCGTTGAATTAAATCTATAAAGTATAGTAACTTAGATTGGTGCTTTATTGCCACTGGTGATATAAAGTGTTATTCTTAAATAATATAGTCCCAGAGCATAAATTCTTTTTACTATTTTTTTAAACTAGTGCCCCTGTTCATCAAAACTAGTTAAAAATTTCACAAAAATATAAGTCAAAGTAAAAAAAAAAATTAAATTTTAATAACATATTTTATTGAATTCATAATTTTTATTAACTTTTTAATTACACATTTCATAACGTTTCTCAAAAGTTATTAAAAATCTTTTTTTAGCAAAATCTAACAGGTTAGTGTGAATGTGATGTACGCATAATATTTTTCGATTTGTTGATGCATAAAAATACTAAAAGCATAGATAAAGATTCTTAATTCCAAAGAATATAAAAAACTTGAGGCACTATTTTAAAATGCTAACTTTTTTAAGATGAGCTTTCAAACCTTTATATATTTATTAATATTTTCATCTTTATTGCGCATGAGATTTTATCCTCGGCAAATATATTGTTAGTTCAAAAACTAAGAGAAGCCATGTTTGATATGGATTAAAATCTAGATTTTAATCTAAATTAAAATCAATAGTTAATTATAATAAAAATTTCATGGGATCTACCCTTTTTCACCACAATTTTCATTAGCTTTTATCAAAATCTACTGTAAATCTATTTTTAATCCACATAAAAAATACATGCTTAATCTCCTCTATATTATGCCCATGTTATGTAGGAATTAAAATATAAATTTTAATATAAGTTAACGTAAACAATATGTATTATGAAATTCACCACTTTTCAACCATATATTTCGTTAACATTTATCAAAATCTACTAGAAAACCAATTTTAATTTCAACAAAAAGGGGCCAAATTTGTTTATATTAACATTTTCCAAAACACATCTTCATAATAAGACATTAAAAGATTTAGAATATATCATTGAACCCCTATTTAGTACATATTATTTAAAATTTATTTTTTTCTCAACCTCGTCTTTAATTAAATATTTTCTCAATAAAATAATTTTGTATGTGGATCCATAACTTATTCCTACATTTTAACCACATTTTTCAAAAAAAAAATAATAATAATAATAAATAAAATAAAAAACATTTTTCTCGAAATGTATTCACAACAAATCCACATCATGCCTTAATATCTGTTTGTAAATAAGTTACCTTTTTAAAAACAAGCATCCTGCACTACAAGTTAATAAGCATATAAAATACATTGGTAACATAAATTTCAAAGAGGATAGTACTATGGGCTCCATTTGGTTCCATAATCTGCGCCACCTTCACTAGAAATTATATTTAATAAAATTATTAATTAGATTATCCAAAAAGCAACAAAAGAAAAAGAAGCTGGAAAACAATTTAAAGATGCAAAAGGGAATGGTTTAGTGGAGAACCTGTGGCCAGTGATAGTTGGGCTTTTCGTGGGAGGAAAAATAACTTATTTAGAAATTATGAGTGATTCTTATTCCAAGTAATTGCTTTTTCATCACTATTTCAACCCGCGTGTAAAGATCTCAAAGAATATTTGTATATGACGCCAAATCTACTTATTTTTGAGTTAAATTTTCTTTGGATTGGGTAAAACTAACAAGTATGTAATAAAATTTATCACTTATCTAATTGATTAATTTTTAAGACGAAATAAAATAAATAAATGTATCTTTTCTTTAATATCTTAATTTTTGGATGAGATGATTTAAAATGTAATTAAAATTGACAAAACTTTTACGATGAAGTTCTGTCATGACTCATTCATGAAATTGTTTACCTATCAAATTCTGATGAAAAAATAATCTAGTATGTAAGCGAGGGACGTATTAATGACGATATTTAAGTAGCTAATATTTGAAAAAAAAAAAAAAACGAAGAAAGCAAAGCCAAAATACTAGTAAAACTGGTGCGTATTTCACATATATTCGCCGTTCAGATGTGTTGCGGAATCCGCCAGGCTCGAATTTGAGAGACAATAGTTATATTCCTAAACTTGCAACGATATGTACTTTCTTGGTAATTAATGTAAATGGATTTTGGCTTCCACCACATTCAGTTTGTCAATGTTTGAAGTTTGAATATATAATAATCAAGACTTTTTTTTAACTTATATTTTGAATATAATTTTTATTAATTTTTTTTGACTTTATTAATTAAACAAATTCAAATTTTTGTCTGCGAATAATTTGGGGAAGTTCAAGAAAATTTTTTGTGTTGCACTTGTTAACTCATATCATGTTGATTTTGATGGTTCGTATATTTGTTAGAACCAATCTGGACCACAAAACTTATCCTATCAATGTAGATTTTGACTCTGGAATTTAAAATGGACACTTGTACTGCTAGACACGAATTTGACACAAGGAAAGAGGTTAAATGCATAATTATTTAAATCTCTTTTAAGTGAGAGAATCTTCAGTAGTGCAACCGTCCTATTAAAATGCGCCACCTTATCGGGTGGTCCACCACACATCCCGTGCGACCATCCTATTAGGGTGCCCCACCTCGACCTCGACATTAGGCTAGCACCCAACCCATTGAAGACTCTCCCCTTTTATGCTAGGTGAGGAAATTAAACATTTTCCTTATTTCTAGTTAAGAAATATTTGATTTTGTTATAAAACAGAGAGGAAATGAAAAGAAAGTAAAAAAATCAATATATTTGTATGAATTTCATTGAGCACCAAAACCCCATATTTATAGAGAAGAATTAGTGTTATAAGAAATACAATAATCATAATAACTAGATTTATAGGGATACAATAGTCATTCATTAACACACACTATTACACACACACACACACGAGATTGACACTTATCCATGTGACGACAGGATTATAACTTCATTGATCGGATTATATTGATGAAAGGATTATAGTTTCACGGTAAATGAACAAATTTGGTATTGTCATACCATGTGACATTTCCTATCATATGTATTTTCTCGGCACATTGCTAAATGTTCATCTGAGATGATGAATGTGAATTAGTGATAAATTAAAAGAGTTGTTTTAATTTATTGATTTTGATTAGATCAAAATAATAATTTACATTGTTAGACATCGTGATTGGTAACCTAATAGGTCACACAAAAAAAGAGAACTAGAAGAATGAGATTTACCAATTAATTAATTTATAAGTGTTGGATAATTAATTAATTGAGTTGCTTATTAATAACCTGAATTAATTAATTAATGTACCAGATTTAATTAATTGAATTAATTAAATATTTGAACGGGTTTAGAGACGGGTCAAGCCCGTTTGAGCTTATATAAATAAGTTGTTAGGGTTTGAAAACTGTAGAAAAATATCATATTTTTGTTAGCACAAGAAAAGTAAAAACACTGGTTCACAATTTTGTTCCATGTGTGAATTTCCATTGAATGTTAGACAATTGGACAGTTGTGGATTGCAGATTGAGATTGTTGGAATTAGAGAAAAGCAAAGGAGTTTGTAGAATTCAACAAAGACATAATTTCTATCATAGTTTCTATCTAAACACAAAGCAAATTCTTGGTGAAAATTGAAATATTGTTTAAAATCTGCTGTACATGATTAAGTAAATTCCCAATGACAATGGTAATAAAAATCAGGGACCGAAAAATGTAAAAAAAATTTGGCATAAAAGAAAAATGTATACACATACAAATACGCTCGTACACAAAGGGCTCGTAAGCATAAATTAGTAGATAAGCTTTAAGGCTTCAATTACCAGCATTTGTGTAATATTCTCTTGAAAATAATTGAAACTTTAAAGATTACAGTTTTGGAACTTGAAATGAACAAGAACGAGAAAACACGGCTTTTTGTTATTCTTTAATGTCCCTGTATTGTTGGCAAATTTACGGGGAGGCTTGGTAACACTCTGGGCGGAGGATTGTTAATCTTCCATGGTTGACAATAAAAACCATTAGGCTTGGTCTTTGTTTTTAGGCACGGGCCAATTACTGCTATACACCAGAGACAATATTGGTGGCACATGGAATTTATTCTTCGAGTGTAAACACCATAATTGCCAAACCCGTAGTTGCTTATCATGTCACAATAAAACTTTGTAGTTCTAAAAAAATTTGGAGTGAATCTAATGATAAAACTTTGTCTGTATGAAAGTACATGATTGCCAAGATCATCTTCTGAGGAATAACAGTGAATGCTAACATTTTGGTGACGTATTCCACCTCTAAAAATTATATTTGATAGATTATGTAATTTTGAAGCCTAATCTAATATATTAAGATTAGAATCATTTCATGATAAAAATGAAATGATAATAAAAACTCATTTCT